GTTTTCAGACAGCAGTGTGTTTCTCAGGAAATACTCTGAGGTAAGAGGAATAAATCCAGACTAAATATTTTTTCTCTGTTGGGTCAGTGACTCAGTGGTGCAGGTATGATTCTTGTCAGGCATGCTGGTGACATACAAGCAGCAGCAAAACCCTGCTAATGAGGCTGGTATAAGATGCTATATTGCTCTGCTCTCTAAAATAGCTAGATTAACTGTGTGTTTTCTTATATCCTGGAATGTGGGCAATAGCAAACCAGGGGGGGCACTGATTTTTAGTGAAACACTTCAGCAACTTACACAGGAATATTATGTAGCAAGTTCTAAAGTGCTTTTCTGCTGTTTCCCGTCCAAGAGATTTTTCACGGTGCGTTTGGTAAGGAGTTATTAACTGCAAACAGATTTAAGTTCTGAGGACTCCCCAGATCTAAACTGATGCTTGTCATTCAAACACCCCAGCATGAATCACGTACAAATGTCAGTGTTCACAGCCAGTGCAGTTCATCTGGAACAAGCATGCATTTAGCATTACACAAAACACAGCCGTTCACCCCCTGACAGTCCTTGCTTGTCCTGGTATTTTGAGGGAGAAGAGGAGGACATTTATTCTTGATGGTGAACTTTAAAAGTATATTTTCTTTTTAAATGCCAACCTATTCCTTTTCCATGTGTGTTTCAAAAATGTCTCTGACACTTTGGCTCAATACCCAGGTATTCCAGCTGTTATTCTAAGATGGTGGAAATTAAAATTCTGTTGACTTCACTGGAGCTTTGCCAGTTTTTCTCAGAGGAAGATTTAGTTTCAGAATATTTAGTGGAGCCTATATCTGACACGTGCACTGCAGGCACTGTGGGTGCTGGGTGGTAGCTGTACTGATGCCAGTAGCTGGAGTGATTGGGAAAAGGAAATTCCACTGTGTAACAAGGGTTGTGGTTCCAACCTTCTCATCTTTCTCATCAACCTTCCATCTCATATGGAAATGATATATTCAAACTGTCTCTTGCAAAGGTGGAACTGTGTTAGGCTGTCCTTTTCTAATCCTGAGTGATGTGTAAAGGGTTAGAACTGTGTCCTGACTCTAGGACCCTGATCACTCTGAGTCCAGTAGTCCAGAACAGAGATTTGAACCTTGGCCTCCTGAATTTCCTGTTGGTGCCATGGTCTCAGGTCACCACAGCCTGAAAGCATTTCTTTTTCACATCACAGAGCTAAAAAAATATCTTGACTTAGTAAAATTTAAGTGCTATTTTTTTCATACTCTGAAAGGGAGTCAGTGCCTCAAATTTTCCATGCTTTTTCCAACTGTATCATCTTTTCTATTAAAATTTACTGTGTCTCCTTCAATTTTTTTTATCCTTTAACACCTCTCATAGTATTATCACAAAAAAAAAGGAAAAAAAAAAAAGAAGGAAAAAAAAATAAAAAATCACCAATTGTTCCAGCAAGCACAAAGCAATGGAACTAATGTAGGTTTCATGTCACAACAACTTTGGTATATAACTAATGAATCCATTTGTAAGATACCTGCTGACCTCCACAGACAAGTAGTTCCTGATCCTGACTTTATTTAGTTGTTCCTGTGCATAATCCCGCTGCAGACACTGAAATTAATGATAACTCTTCTGTGGATTTCAGTGTTTGCAGGTTGAGGCCCTCATTTATTAAGGGTTTATCATTGCAAATTTGCTGAAAACACCAAACCCTCACAGCTCCTGTGGGCCTCATTTTCAGTCCTGCAGAGGCATCGTAATACCATGTTTGCTATAGCTGAGTCATTCCCATGACAACAGATGGAGTCTAAAATACAAGATTCTGACCTTGCTGTGTGATCAAACAAAACAGAGAAGCTGGGCATTGAAGACAAAAAAAAGTTCATTGAACACAAATGCCTATAAACCCAGCAAGCAAGTGGGAGAGAAGCAGCAGATAAAAACTAAATATCTCTCCTTCTCTGAAGTTCTGCTCCACGGTAACTGTCCCTCCGCAGATTTTCTTAATCTTAGGATGTGCTATGAGTATCCTCCTCTGCAGAAAGCTCCAGGGAGAGCAAATGAGAGCTTGTTAATAAATCCATTTTGTATTAATTCTTTCTGGAGGATGAGCTGTGAAAAGCAATACTATTTTACAGCTTCTTCCAGTGTATCTAAAAACAAAGCATTTTGGAAAATGGGACAAGATTGAAATGTTACTTGAGTTGCATTAATAGTCCTTGCTATAGAAATCAAGGCGGAGTCAGTGAACTGCTCTGAATCAAATGCTGGATTGGTAGAAGAATCAGGTAGGAAAAACATTAGTGGCCAGCTGGCAGTGTGGTCATCACAGGAAACCAGTGACAGGCCTGAGTGACCATAAGATGTCTTCTTCCTGAGCAGGAACAGAGACAAGGCACAACTGGAAAGGCTCACATTTCCCACCAGTTCATAGGCTGAAAGTCATAACAGGGAAGAGATGTGTTGCAGCTGGCCTGGCAGTCAACTAATAGTTTCAGATTGAAGTAGCTTTTAAAAACAATTCTAAAGGATTGACAGCAGTAAAACAAAAGTTTTAGGTGTTGTTAGGAAGACTGGTGGTCCTCGCAACTGTGTCAGTGAGAGGTGGATTTCTAACACCCAGTTTGAGTTTGTGAGAACATTTTTGAGGATTCCAGTTGTAATGAAGTATTGAACAGTCACTCTCAGGATCCTACCCTGTAACAACATCAGCATTAAGACTTACTGTGCCTTAGTGGCAGGACAAAGAGCATGGTTTGAATTGTCCTAATGCAGAATTAACTCGGATTGGATCTGTTAATATCTGCAAACAAACTTGCTCATGGATTCTGGAACCTGGCAAGGGTCTTTTCCCTTACAGATAGGACACTCTGATAAATATATTTGTCATATTGGTGCATATTATGGATGCAATGAAGAATTAAGAATGAGAAATCTGTGTCAGTGAAAACAAAGATGTGAATGACAGTGCACTGGTTTACACTGAACACACCCAGAATTACAGAGACAGGCCCAGAGAGCTCTGACCAAGCCTTGTGGCTGCTGCTCTTGTGCATAATGGATTTAGTGTTGACTGTAAGCACAGAAGACCCTCCAGGTTTTGTTCAGCCTATTGACAGATGATATCCAGCGGGGAAGAAGGATTTCAGGTCTGGACTGGAGAAGGGAAAGTCTCATTAGTACAGCTTCTTACACCTTGTACTTTGAGAACAAGTCACAGTAGGAGCAGATGACATCTGCAAGGCAGCCAGGTTGGTGAAGCTTTGATTTCATGGGTAAATAGTCACTGTACCCAGGGAACTTGCCCAGTGGTGCTCAAAGTCAGTCCCACTCACGCCCTGGCATGTACACTTTATTCACTGACAGTTCCAGTGTCCAGGGATCTGAGTTTTGCTTGGCCTCAGTGAACAAATTACAGTCCAGATACTGTGGGCCAGAAATGATAGAGCAAGCAGCTGTTGCTCTGCTGCCTCTACATCTGCCTGACACAGTAATTAAATCTCATCAGCCATTCAATATAATGGAAGCAAACCAACTACAACAGAAGGATTCTGCAGTATAACTGTCCTGTGATGTATAACTGCAGCTGTATATTTACCTTTGTAATTAATTCTGTAAGCATTTGTATGGAGTTACAAGGGGCTGAGTAATTTTGAAAGCAGTGGAAGAGATCATTAAAAATAGCGAAAGGCATAATTACTTTCTTCTACCATCAATCTCCTCCATATCTTCTCTGCTGATGTTTCCCATGGACAATTTACGTTCATTATATTACCTTCTTACTAAAATTATCTCAGATTTCATTTCCAGGTTTGGAAAAAGGTAACAGTGCTAGAGTGGGACAAAGGCATTGCCTGTTAAACACCCTGTAGTGGGCAGAAGCCCTAATTTTGCTGCAGGACTGACATTGCCTGTGACTTGAACATATTAAATTAATTTCCTTTTGTGGAAAACGTGGGTCCCACTTCAGTGGATGTTCTGTGCTGACATTTATGATGTAGGCTGGTACCTAATGTAGCTGATTAAGCACTGCATTTATGCTCATTGTATAAATCCTTGTTTGATGAAATAAGTGGGTTATTGAGCCCTTTTTATCAGATTTCTTTTCAAGAGAGTTGATTTTTTATTTATTTTTTTCTTGAAACTCACACAGTTCAACTTTTTGGCAGGAGTACCCAGGAATCTTGCCAGTGGAAATCTCCCTTCTTAATTAATCTTTTCTGAATTTTGTAGCCATAGATATATTCTCCCCTGGTCATCCTATACCAGATCAAATGTATGAGGTTAACTGACCTACTCTAGGTTTGCACCAGCATAAAGAAATGGGACTCCTTTGTGTGTGTGTCCCCCAAGGCTGCACAGAAATAGATGTCTCCTTCACTATCAGTGTTGTGTTTGTCTCATTCTTTCACATCACATAAAGTTTTCAGCTGGGCCTGGTAAGGTATAAGGTATACTGAGGCAGGCTGCACTGTGGGGCCTTTTTTCTGACCTCCAGTCTTTCAGACCCCAAAGCCAAAGCATGTTGATGCAGGGCACGTGACCAGGAGCTGGATGAGCTGCAAGTGAAGTTCCTTTGTGCTGATGGAGAGCAGAAGCTGTTCCTCTTTTTCAGGCACCATCACTCTCATTTTACTGACTGGAGAGTAGCAAAGCCAGGCCATCAGTGCCCTGTGCTGGCTGTGAGGGACCAGTTGGCAACTTGGGCATGAGCATGTGTAACCAAGCTTTGTGACTGGAAAATGAGCTTAGAAGCAATCATTTTCTTCTAGAAAGTCAGCAGTGTTTTCTTTCTATAAGCAGCAGTTGCCAGCAGGGAATTCTTGAAAATAGTGAAAGATTCTCCTAAAAGACATAATTTAACTTCAGTCAGCTTCAATGTGCCCAGCACCCAGGCTGGATCCTAGGCCAAGGACAACAGGGGCTGTTCTGACCTTCTACCTGGCAGTATTTGGAACAAACCTCCCCAGTAATTTGTTTTTCTGAGCTGCTCTTTGTTTTGTGTTTTCCAGAAGCGCTCCGGAGGCGTGTGCTCGTACCTGCACCGCGTGTGTCGGGCGGCACTACCATTGCAACTGCTGCTCCTGCTCCTCCTGCTCCTGGCCTTCCTCCTGCCCCTGGCAGAAGAGACCCACAGCTGCACACTGGCCAACAACTTCGCTCGCTCCTTCAAGCTCATGCTGAGATACGAGGGCCCACCTCCAACATAACTTCTTGGTGTGGCGCGAGGTGACTGGCAGAACGCAGACTCTTTATTTCTAGTTGCTTCTGTTGTAGATTTTAGGGCTTCTAACATGGCCATCATGTCAACTGGATAGATCACATAATTGCAACATAAGATTAATCCATTTTAATCAGGTATTTGAGCAAAATTAATATTTTTACAATTTTTTTTATTATTGTATTTATAATATGTATATAGAGATCGTGTATGTGTATGTATGTACATATATATATATATATAAATGCATATCTGTGGTCAAACCAGCAACCACCATCTACTCATCCCCTGTTTAAGGATAATTCTGCAATGTTTCTGCCATCTTTCCACAAGCAATACTGAAGGATGGTGTTGTGGGATTTTCTGGGTGATTTTTAACATCAGATTCTTGTTTACAAAGACTGAAGTCAGAGCAAGTATGAGAACATTTGGCATGCACCAGAGTGTAAACTGGAGAGCAGGCACAGTAGAATCATGTTTGAATAGAGTGGTTGATATTCAGCCCAAGGAAGATTTGGACTATTCTCTTTGAAAGTTGAGCTGGTTTTACAGTATCTGGATACTGCAGGGATTGCAGAAGCTAATAGAAGTGTTTCTACTGACTTCAGTAGGAGTGGGGGTGGACCTCCTCTTGTTCTTATTTTTTACCAGATTTCTTTTCCAGCTACTGTATTCTCCAGCCCACCTGAATCAGGAGAGGTGGAATACAGTGGGAAGAAAGCGAGGAAAAAAAAAAAAAAGAATATATTTTTTTAGCATCTCTCTAGCAGGAGAACTTTTAAAATCAGGTCGTAATTTTCTGAACAAATTTGTGAGCACTGAACAAAACCTTGTATCACCAATCTTGTCTATAAAAAAGAGTGGGTTTTTTGTTAGTTTTTTTGTGTTTGTGGGGTTTAGTGATTTGGTTTTGTTGGGTTTTTTACTTTATAAAGAGGCATTTGGTAACAGATTATAAAGCCTGAACAGTGAGATGCAGCCTGGCTCAGTGTCAGTAAAGCAAAAATTGGAAGTACTTTAATAATACCACCCTGGAAACAAGATTCCTACCTAGAATTCTTTTGTGTTAATGGTTTATTGAAATTGTGTAAACTGATTATATCAAAGACAGTCATGCATAGATTTCTATGTAATCTAAACTCTAAAATTATGGCAACTTGTCATTTATTTACCTAACCCTATGCCTGACTATCAAATTTTTGAATTTTAACGTTTTAACATTGCCTTTTAATGTAAAAGCAATTCTCACTTCAGAGCGATGAAGCCATTCTTAGTGGTGTTTTATCTAATTGATAAGACATTCACTTCAGGAAGAGAAGGAAAGCCTGTGATTTCTTTCATGAAAGACCCAGGGGGAGAGGAGCTATAATTTGCTAGAGAATGGGACATATTAATTCCTTCTTTGCAACTTTGTGGTTCTTTCTGGTGGCAGAGGACATACCTCCTCCTGCTCTCCTGATTAGCTGTGCAAGTGTCATGCACATTCCTCTAAAAAATTACTGCCAGCCCTGGGAGGAGAAACCCCTGTGGCTGTGCAGCAAGGAGTTAATCATCACACACATCTCCATGTCATATTAAATCTTCCTTTAGAAAAGAAGTGTGGGGGAAGAGGGGCAGTAATGAAACCTGCCCTGTGTGGTTGTGGATGTCTGTAGGTGTGCACACACCTTTCTTTGACATAGCTACATTGCAGTTCTCTGTGTTTTGCTGAGCTGTTCCAGGTGATGAAAGTAAAATACCAGTGAGAAAGTAAAAGTAATGAGGAATAATAAAGCTGCAATTGGGAATCAGGAGGGAGATAGAAAAGTTTTTTCTATGAAAGCACAAAATCTCACATCAGATTTCTTTCTGCCGAGCCTTTCTGATCTGGGTGATTTGTGTGGGTTCACAAATGCATTTGACACCATGGCAGTGTGTAACGGAGAAAAAATTTCTGCACAGAGGATCTTACAAGAACAACTGCATCATCACCTTGATGTTTCAGTGCTCTGGCAGATTTTTAAAAAAAAGAACCAAACAACTAAATTAGAAACACATTTTTGCTGCTGGGTTTGCAATCAGTTTATTCTGCAAGTCCCCTGTCTGTAATCTTGGAAAGTTTTGCTTTAAATCTCAGTCAATCCATTCTCATTAACTTAAATAATCTGAATATCTCATGGAAGTGGTGAATATATCTACTTCTTTGCAATGAAAACTATCCAAAGCACAGGACTTTAATGTTCGTATCACTGAAAACAATTTAAGTCTTCCATGTCATTTACCTCACCTGTCCAAGGCAGGTGTGAGATTTATCTGGCAAAGAAAGAAAGAAAAAAATCACAAAAGTAAACTTGAGATGTAAATGTGAAATTTACTTTCTTTTTTATTCTCTTGTGGTTTTTGGTTTTTTCTGAAAAGCTTGCCATACCTATTCCTGGTAGTGTGTGTAAATATTAATCAAGTCAGTAATTGGAATAACCAAAACAAAATGCCTAGCCCAGCTTCCAGGAAACTGTACAAAGCTCAGATTCCTCAAACACAACCTAAATCATACTGCTTCCAAACCAGTCCTTAAAATCTTGAGCACAGTTCCTCATCTTTGCTCACAGATGATTTGGTGGTTATATGCTCACTTTTGTGCCTATAAAATCCCCAGCTCATACATCTCTGACATCCAGATGTAACTGAGATGTGTTATAGCTCAGGTTCAGACTGGGGCCACTGCCTTAAGCCTTCCCTTGCCAAAACATGGGATGTACAGAACCCTGGATGTGGTGTGCAGCCGAGGGCTTTCAGTGTTTTGCCCCAATCCAGATGCAGCCACAAAGGCTGCTAAACCCTCTCTGACACATGGAAGGGGTTTGATGCTGTGTGTGCTTTGTGCACCTGGCCCGTACTCCATGAAGACACGAGCTCTGCCCGAGCTGCTGCCTGCACTGTTGGACCCAGGAGCTGCTTGACCACATTAATGACCCTGCAGTGCTGAAGGCAAAATCCTGCACTCTATTGCCCATGCATCACAGTCAGACATTACCCCAAGGCACACTTCAAACCCAACCTCTGGCATGAAAGCAAGCCTCCTTTGTAAACTGTAATTGATTTTGAAGCCTGATGCTTTCAAGAGAATTTTCCATGGTAGCAATACATTGAGGTAGAAAATTGCTATTGTGCCCCATGTCTATTAACAGCCCTTTCTCTGATTCCAGCCAGCAATTTAAATGGTATTAAATATTATTTATATATGCCCTCTCCATAAATCTCTGTATGAAACACATCTTCAGTTCTAAGCACATACATTAAAAATGTTGTATTCCTCTCCTAGCACTCAATCTCCAGAGCAGTCATGATTTCTAGCAAGTGCTACTTTATTTGTACTGACCAAGAACTTCGAAAACTCAAACATTTGTGGCTGTAAATTAAGATACTAAGCTAACTAATAGAATCACCTAGTGGTCACTGAATAATTTGGACAGCTTTTAGAACGGCTTTATGTTTATTCTCTTTAATCCCTTTTGTTGGACTATTTGTAGATGTCAGAGAGAAGAAACATCTCAAAAAAATGGCCATTCTTAGATAGACAGATGGTGATCTCTACACATCAGAAAAAATAGTATTTTCTCTAGTTGCTCTAGACCTCAGGAGTTTGCTACACCAGATCTCCTTTTCAGTATTAAATAGGGAATGTTTTACTTTGATGTGTGTGCAGACACATCTCATTAGCACTAAAGAGATTTAAAGAGTGAGTTCATGTACAATAATTCTTTTAACTTGTGTCAACATGAGAGTCCTCTTAATTTGAGAAAAAAACCAACCAGAACTGCTGTGTGACAGAGATTCCCAGACCAAACAAAGCCTTTTGGAATAACTAAAGATTACAGACTGAAACTAAATGATCCACCATAGGAAACTGGAAAAATAGTTTTGCCTTTCAAGAAATGCTGGTATAAAAGCCCCAATAAACATGTCTTTGCCAGGCAGTATAGATGTCTTTCAAGTCATAGGTTATGTGCCCAGCTGGCTGTAAGAGCTGCTTCTGGAGACTTTACTACCCCTTGGACAGGATCATTTGCTAGGCTGCAGCTGAAAACATGTTTGTCCAGAGAACCTATACCAGCTTCTGCCAGAATCGCTGGGGGCTGTTGAGGATATTCTTAGCAGTTCCCAGACCATTGACCTGCTCTGAGCCATTACAAGTTTATTGCATTAATTTATCTGTCAGCCGTTGGCAGCTCTCAGAAAACAGTTTATTAAAATACTAAAGATAATATTTCTGGTGCAGGCAACATGATTCAGTGAGAAATCAATCTTACTACTTTTGCCATATTTAAAAAAGGTATCTGTTGGTTATACTGGAGTATAAACAGGTCAGTTGTAGGTGTTGGGTAACTGCAGGATGTTTTAGGCACAAGGCATTTTGACTCTTACATGTCCATTTAAGAACTGTGGGATCATGTTACATTTGTTAAATGGTAAAACAAAACAAAGATTCTTGAATTAAAAGAAAAAAACAAAAAAAAAACCCAAAACAAAACCAAAGAAGGATGGATTAATCTGTCACACAGTTGTTTTTTTATTATCACTTTTCTATCCAATTTGAAATATGAATATGTGTCTACCAGAGAGTTATCAGTAGATCTGGAAAATAAGTAATATCTATCAGGAATATACCAGTTCAAACTGTAGCATAAATGGCACCTCTGTTCCCTCACCCAGGAAATGCCAGATTTTGCCTCACTGTACCTGCAAGATAAAAACCCTCCTCCTAGTAAAGTGTGGGTAAGGTGAAACTGCACAGCTTAAGGTGCAGCATCCCAGTGGGAGCAGCAGGAGACATTAGTTCTTGCAAAGGTAGCCTGATATCCCCAGTGCAAGAGGGGAACACGTAGGGCTGGCATAATGAGAGCAGTCCAGGACTAATGACACAGGAACAAGGGCTTGCCATCCTGGTCTGTCTGACAGAATTTTGACAGCAGCAGTCAGCACAGTTCAGTTTCGTGTCCCTGGCTGTGGAAGGAGGCTCCCCTCAGGGTGATTCACTTGAGCTGAGATTTGAGCCCTGGAAGTGTTTTTCACTTTTCATTAAACAGAGAAGAAATTGCTAAATTAAAACCCCTCAGTGACAGGTTAATGGTAGGTGGTGGGTGTTGATGTTCCAGGAAAAGATACAGGAAATGCTATTATAGATAGAAAGCTAGTCATGGTGGTCTCTGTTCAATCCTCAGGAGGCAAAAATGTATTGTAGAACTGAAGTGGGAGTTTTTCTGTTCCTTTTCAAGTAAATGTCAGGTGTTGTCTTTAGTCTTCTGGATTCTGGAGGCAAGCCTATTCAGTGCCTTACTGAATGCTAGTGGCTTTCTGGCTCCAGAGCCACTTACATCAGCAAGTTACACATTATTCCAAGTTGTGTGAAAAAGGTATTCCCCTGAACTGGTTTTGGATCAGAAACTTTTTGTTTGGGGAGTGGGGATGGTTTGCTTTTCCTTCTTTTGGCCACTTAGTGTTAAATCCTAGGCAGCAGGAAGACCAGCACTACACTTTCCAGGCCATGTTCTCTTTCCTTCTTTTGTGAGAGCAGAGGAGATTTGGCTTTGCTTCCTTTCCAAAGAAAATTATTTCAGTATTTTCTTCTTCTTTTCCTGTTGCAGTTCTTCCACAGCCTAGGTCATTCCTATCACCTTAAGTGTTTCCAGTGGCTGTTCTTACTCAGAGCAAAAATCTGCTCCAGTTTCAGTAAGTTTAAAATCCAGTCATTTTTTTCCCCCATTGCAGCTCCTCCTGCAGATGCTCTGTCTGTTTCTGCTGTCCCCTGTGTCAAACCAGCCTTCATCACTATCTGTGGGGACTCTAGTCCTGGTCAGCAGTCTCTTCCAAGTCTCCTGGCCATGTCCTGCCCTCATCTGCCTTCAATTTTGGCTCAGGGACTGCCCTTAATAGTCACATCTGCAGACAGGATGTGAGGGTGTCACTTAACAAACAATTATTAATAATGAAAGCCTTGCTATTAGCATTGTTCATAGCCTGCCCGGAGCCTTTTTCTCTTCTCCTCTCTAAGCAGGTTTTGATGTATAATCCAATTACTGTGTACAGAAAATTGCCCCTCAGTCAGCACAGAGGGCTGGTGGTTCAGCTGGGGCTCTGCAACCCTCACATTGTCACTGCTGGGGTAAGAGCTCCCAGGTGCTGCTCAGCCAGGGTCTGTGCCCTTGAGCTGCCAGGAGTGTTCCATTCTTGTTGTTATACACCCTAAATAAGCCAAAACCCCTTTTTTCTGACCTGGGGTAAGTAACAAAGAAAACTAAAATGATCGCTTTTCACAAACTGATTTCACAACTCATTTATCATGCCCAATAGCAAGCCATTTATTTTAGCTCCTTTTTGCTCCATGAAAAGCCATGTGTTAAGAGGGAGAGGTGGGTTTGGAGAGCAGTGCCACCACCCTCAGAAGCACTTTGCTGGGAGGCTTCCTGCTGGAACCCAGGGGCAGGAGCTGTTATTTCTCCTGAAGTGATTCCCACCTTCAAAACCAAATTATTTCTTTTGTCAAGTCTAATAAGCACTGAACACCACAGACTTTGTTTCACTACAGATATGAATGAATGCCTCTGTACAGTACTTTCTGTTGCCATGAAATATATATATATATATATATGTGTGTGTATATATATATATATATATATGTAATGGTCCGTGTAATTATTGTTCTACTTAAAGGTGACATTCCACTTCACTGTAACTTTTAAGTGCAGCTTTTAAGGGAAACTATCTTAAAGGGAAGCTGGAAGAGGTACTTGTTTTAATGAGCTTTGATGAGATTTAATAAGCTTTGAGTCTGGGTTTCAGTCTTTGGGGTGAAAAGCACCCAAGATGATTTTTCCATCACATTTCCAGATCAAACCCATTAAGAATTTAACCTGGGAGGCATTGCTTGAACACTGGCTGTTCCTGAAGGTGTTTGGATGTTGCTATGTGTTTACGTCTGTCCTCAAACTTCCATTTTGTACATGGGCTTGACTGGAAGGCAA